CCAATGAGATCCACGGGGAAAATGAAAACAGAGAGCAATGGCGGAGCATGATCCATCCAGTTATGGCTATAAATGGCAGAAGAGATTTCCCCTGTGTGAAAGCAGTGGCTCTGAAATTGTTTAACAGTATTTATTGTTAGTATTATTGTTGTTTAGTTATTATTATTAATTATACAGGTAGAGATACTTCTGTATTATGGGAAAAGATTTTTAATATGTGTGGCCTGTTTTCACCATTAATGTACATACACGTGTGTGTATATATATATATATACACATGGAGAGAGGGAAAGAAAGCAACATCAAAACAGAATGAGTAAAGTGGTCAGGAAGCAATTCTCAGCATTACTGAGGGTAGTTTTGTTCATTATGTTCTCTACCCCATCTGCACACATATGGATAAATAAATTGCTTCAGTCCTATTACAAGTCCATTGAACTCCTGCCAGACTTTATGACTCTGCATTGACCCACCAGAATTTAAAATAGATTATCTCGGAGGCAAAAAACCCCAAATGAATATGGAGGCTGTTATTTATTCTGTGTCATCTTTGTTTTAATGTCAGCGTAAATGAAAATACAATGGAATAAAAAATTGCACTTTCCAAATGCAGACTCATAGTTTGAAAATCTGGGTAAAGATATAATTCCTACTTAAGTAAATAACAAATTCTTAGTGACTTTATTGAGACAGGATTCCATACCTTAATATGTTTTAACATTAAACTGAGTGCTGCTCTGAATACCAAAGTGGATTTATTGGAAAGCAATACCAAAGGCATGTGATACCTACTCAGAATTACCCTGGCCTTATTATCACTTTTTCTCCTAAGTGAATTTTAAAGATTAGTATTAGATGGCCATTAAGGAGCCTTGTTAAAGGCAATCATGTGCTTCATGTGTGAGCTGCTACTTAGAGAAAGCTCTGTTGACACTCTTTATATCCATTACCTAACAAGACCAATGGACAAAGGCAGAATGACTCTAAACTGTCAAATAAAAATGCCTACCCTATGCCTTCTTAAACTCTTCTTTCATAATCTGTTCCCAGATACTATAATTTTGAATTCAAGCTGAAGATGGACTTTCACTAAAGACAAAACATATATTTAAAAAAACCCTACAACAAACAAACCAAAATGCTGATGTTTTATTAACAATGTGTGTGCA